GGTGACAACGCATCTGCATTTTGACGTAGATGTCTATGGTCCACAGCAACCACTTAACATCAGGTGGACTGTGTGCTCGTTTGTCACCCTATCCTATAAAAAAATATCTCAAGGGTATATGATCGAAGTACTTTAGTTATCTATTGCATCTATTTTTTATGCAAAAGATGCAATGAGTTTTAAGTGTGATTGAATTTTCGTTGCCTCAGGGTCTTTCTTAGACACATTTATACCTACTGCTGGTTGTTTTATTATACAACCATTAAATTTAATACTTCCTGCGCATGTAGCGTTTCTCCTCTAACCACTAAAATTGACATTTGATGTATGAAATTTCATATGTTACGTCGTAGAAATAAATACATTTCAATTTTATGACAATTCCGATAATATGAGATACGGTGAGAGCCAGAAATTTAAAACGAACATATTTAGAAGAGTATTAAGTATATAGCGCAAATTTCACAGTACGCAAGTAACCCGAGTTAAAGCACAGGGATTGCTACAGCGGTAATGAAATATATCGAGGACATGTGAGGTCAGCCAACACGTACTGGAGTGGAGCGAGGATGTAATTGCTGCACAACTCTTTTAAGATATGAGTGCAGGCCTGTGCCCAGCCAAGGAACGCACTGCATACTTTTAATAATTATTTAATCCATTCATTACACGATGGTATTAATCTTTTTTTTAGCTTAGAGATTTTACTCCCTTTCCCCCTCCCCCCAAGCTTCTCGTTGCTGCAATGCAAACTATTTCCAATATACTCTTTTTTTATAATAGTTATTTGCGTTTTGTTAAAGTGACAAATGAATCAATTCATTATTTCCAATTTGATCGCAAAATATAGTTACGTTACGTTACGTTACGTTACGATGTCACCATTCGCGTAGTTGGTGATGACTCTAGTTTCAAACTACGTAGCATCGCAGCACCAAACATAAAGTGCGTAGCATCGTAGCACCAAACATAAAGTGCGTAGCATCGTAGCACCAAACATAAAGTGCGTAGCATCGTAGCACCAAACATAAACAGTGTAGCATCGTAGCACCAAACATAAACTGCGTAGCATCGTAACATCTAATGTATTATTTAATTGCAGCTTCCAAGAAATGTAATTGCATTATTTTAATGAAATTTTGAACTTTTTTTGTTTGATATATTTATAACAATGTAATAATAATATAATTTAGATGCCATAAAACGTCACAAACTTATTGGATTTCTTAATAATAAAACTAGTAATTATGTTGTTATTCCCTACAACGGAAGACGGCATTTTTACGGGAGTGGATTTTTACTTTTTTAAAAGTTATTAAAAATAACGTGCTACATAACGATATGTCACAGAATTTTCACGTGTACAAATGAATTGATTATATCAAGAAGTACATAATGCTGCTATGTTTATATTTGAAGCGACGTGAACCAAAGGCGAGTAGATATCGCTGTGCTGACGAATAATCTCTTCATCACCATCTTCTTCTTCATCATAATCACCATTACAGCCTCTCACAAGTCCGCTGCTGAACATAGGCCTCCAACAAGAAATGTCCCATAAAAACGGTTATGAGCTACTAGGATCCATTAACTACCTCGTACTCGAGGGGGGCTGTCCCGCAGTTCGCTTACCGGTGCAAGACAGAAATTTCTTTTCCCTTATTTTTCTGTTAATCCAAAAAGAAATCTGAAATGCACATACTACAAACTTTGAAAACTATAACCTCGCTTGTGTAAAATATACGAGCATGTTGTACACAAGTGAGGTTCTAGTTTTTAAAGTTTATACAAGTTTTATCTTCATGTTATAAGCTACCTACGTGTTCGTTTTAGGATTTTATTTAACTCTCAGCACATGAGAATACAATATATTGGTGATTATGATGACGGACGAACAAAGTTCGTGTATTAATTAATTATTATTATTAAGGGTTCTTAGGGGTTCTAAAATTGAAACCATATTCCGAGCTATTTAGAATAACTGCGTTTCCAAGCAATTTACCACATTTTTTTACTGCAAGGTCTTTTATTCAATTGATAATATAACTTTGCGTAGTCACATCATTAAAAGTCTGGAGAATGAGAGTATGTTGTACATGCTACGGCTAAAAGCCGAAGTGCGGATACAACTAGGTTTAGCCGGCTACTACTCGTACTAGGTGCAGGCTATTGCGGTTGTTTAAACTTAGGTGTATCATACATAATTTATGTATTAGATTAGTGTTTGCGATTTTGGGATGGCCCAAGGGCCACCCCAACCACACCTTATATCCGTGTTTCTACAAATTTAACAGTACACCTAAATTAACCAACCACTGCTCGCCTCACCTTTTTTTTAGCTGGCTAGAACTAGGTGTAACTGCACTTGGGTTTTTAACCGTCACATATACATTTTAAAATAATTGGATAGTTTTACGTCAGCAGCTGGTATTAACTCACGTTTCATACATTTTGGACCTTGCGTGCGTACCATGTTTTTTTCTAAATTTTTGGTTATTTGTGTACCGTGTGGTAATTCTTTGACTTAAACTTTTTTGTGTTAATTTGAATAAATCAAGGTGACAAAACGTACAGTTTTTGCACCGAATGTCAAAATAGCTCGCAAATGACAGATTATTTTCCCACTTATTTAACACTTATCGTTATATTTTGACTAATTTACACAATATCTTTATTAATTATAGCATATATCTTGTTCTGATGTATGAGCCATATTATTGTAAAGTTTCATTAAAATACATTTAGTAGTTTTTGTGTGGAAGAGTAACAAACTTCCATATATCCATAAATCCTCACAAACTTTCACGTTTATAATATTAATAAGATAATTCTCAAGTACATTAATTTGATAATATCAATTTACACCATATCTTGTTTTAGACAGAGTCTTATATTGTCTGTACTACTATTGTGATAATATGACGAGTATTAAAATAAATAAATTAATTAGCTATATTAGCTAAGACGGATGGTTATTACGCAATCAATAAATCTATCCCTACAAATTGTCACATACCTACATTTGTTTTTGTAGGAGAGGGAGCAAACGAGCATGCGGCTCACCTGATGGTAAGTGACTACCGCCGCCCATGAACAACTGCAACACTAGGGAGGGAATTGCAGATGCGTTGCAGGTCTTTTAAATAGGAGTACGCTCTTTTCTTGAAGGTCCCTAAGTCGTATCGGTCCGGAAAAATCGCTGATGGTAATCGATTCCACAAGGAAGTCGTGCGAGGAAGTAAACATCTTCTAAATGATGGATGGATGGATGGATAGTTGTTATTTGATAGTGATGGCTTTGTGACTTAGTGTCTTTGTATTAAGTTGGGGTACTGGGAGCAACAGTTTAAAATCGCGCACGGAATAAGTACTTATATGACCTATAATTAATTGTCCCTGGGATGGATGATACAGTTCTCCCCTACACTAGGATTTTATTCTGTATCCTACAGAAGAAAATCCTAGTGTAGAGGTTTCAAATATAAAGTAAATATAGTTTCCATTGAGACTAGCCGTCGGGACCGAAATTCGGTCTGGAGGACATTATCCTTAATTTTTTTATAATGGCAACAAAGAGGTGACGACTTGGTAAGCGTCTGGTTGTCCGATGGCAGGAAGGAGAGGGACTTAATTATAAGTCATGCAATTCCTGGTCACACTTTCCGAAATATATCCTGCAGAACACCGAGAGCCTGGCTATTTTGCACCTGTGCTCGAGACTGGCTTTAACCAAATTGTGTTTATAAGCACGCCTATCTATTAAGTCCAAAGCTGCGGGTGGAATTTTGCAATACCAACCTATTAATGTGTATAGCATAACATGTAATATATATAGCAGCAAATGTATGTGTACATCAAGCTTAAAACTTGAGAAAACTAAATTTTTAACCTTTGTCAATTTCATTGCTAGCATACCCTTACATATTATAAATTAATATGTAAGGGTGCTTAAAGGTTAAAAAGTAATTAAAAAGCCCTGACTGCGTAAAAAAGTTAAATGAAAAGAGAAAAAAGATACCCTATGTCATTCCCACTATTAAAACGAATCTCACAACCCCTCATATATTAAATCCATCAAGTCGTTTAGACTACAGAGCGTGCCGAAAAATATACACACATACTCTCGAAAAACATTACTAACTTCCTTATGTTCCAGTCTGGTAAAAACAAGCTTTAATTTCCAACCTTGGTCAATTTTAGGGGCAATACAGCATACTACAACTCTGTGTAAAAAGTATCGGGAATATGTCAATAAAAAGACCCGCGTAAAAGAGGTCGTTCTAATTTTTTTACTGCATGTTGGTAGCACTGTACTGATTTAGCGCGCAAAGTTTGAGTGGGATCTGTCAATTAATTTGTTTTAAACTACACTTTTTGTTGGTCATAGTTTTGAGTTCTCGGCGATTTTTACAGTGGAAAATATTGTTAAACAAAGAGTGTGCCTTAAATTTTGTGTTTCGAATGATATTTCATGTGGTGAATCACTAAAAATGTTGCGAAATACCTACGGCGAATCGTTTATATCGAAAACAAGGGCTTATGAATGGTATAAGGCTTTTAAAGAAGGCCGAGAAGTAGTAGTAGACTTGCCTCGTTCTGGTAGACCTTCAACCGCTACGACCAAAGAAAACATCGACAAAATCAAGAAGCTAGTGCTCGAAAATCGACGTATGAGTCTGAGAGAGTTGGCTAGTGAGGTGAACATATCTTGTAAGTTCGTCCACAACATTCTCATTGACATTTTAGGCATGAAACGCGTCGCCGCTCGACTAGTTCCAAAAGAGCTCAATTTTGTTCAAAGAGCGCAGCGAAAGCATGTCGCTGTAGACATGGTTTCCCGAGCTTCTACGGATCCGACCTTTATGAAACGTATAATAACTGGCGACGAGACATGGGTTTATTAGTACGACATGCAAACAAGCTAACAGTCTTCAGAATGGCGTCTCGAAAACGAGCCGAAACCCAAAAAACCGCGGCAAAGTCGCTCCAAAATCAAGGTGATGCTGACAGTTTTTTTTGACTACCGTGGTGTGGTTCACTCCGAATTCCTTCCAAAGGGAGAAACAGTGAATAAAGAATATTATTTAGGCGTCATGAAGCGTTTGCGTGAGAGTATCCGCCGAAAACGTCCAGATTTGTGGCAACACAACTCATGGATGCTGCACCATGATAATGCACCATCACACACAGCCATTATAGTGAAAGAATTTTTAGCGAAAAATTCAACAAAAGTTCTCGACCAAGCACCGTATTCACCTGATATGGCTCCGTCTGACTTTTTTTTATTTCCCAAGTTAAAATTACCACTTCGAGGAAAACGTTTTGAGTCGATAGAAGCCATAAAAAAAAATTCGCTGAATGAGCTAAAGGCCATACCGCAAATAGCCTATGAAAAATGTATGGAAGACTGGGTGAAGCGTTGGAGATGTTGTATTGCAAGCGATGGGGCCTACTTTGAAGGCGATAAAATAAATTTAGATGAATAATTTGTATTTTTTGTTTCATTGACAAATTCCCGATATTTTACTACACACATCACTTTGATAATCGATAGCCCAGTATTTGAATCCTACTTCTGTTTACGTCTACGTATGTTTGTCCATCCATCCATTACACTCTATGAAATAAAACTACTGAACATATTCCTCCACATACATTGCTTATTTTTTTATTATTTTGACTTTTTATCAGGAAAATGCCGCTGCCCGATTCTGTTTCAGCTTCCCTCTGTCACCTTTTAAGACACCCACGGCACGATAATATAAGGTAGTGGATATTCTTACACCGCCACTACGCGATAAACTACTTGGTTATGTGCCCATGTCTAATTTATATTTATGTAACGCTACGAAACCAAGACGATGATGATGATGAAACGCCATCACGTATGAGAAAAATTCCTATTGCGGGAATAAATAAGTTAACGTTTTGAAATAAATAAAAAGGCTATAAAATATTTGAAGTTATATCTAAAATATAAGTCTGTTACCGCCTACACTTCTTCTCAGTTTTATAAGGGTTATGAAGCCAGAAAGTATATGCCTTGTTCTGTTGTAAGTAATCAATTATAACAATATAAAACGACACACGACTTAAGAGCATTTTGACTTTACTTGTAAACCAACAACGCGATAGTTATTTACATCGATACTGACTTTGGTTGGCATCCGAACCAAAGCATGTTCGTGTTGTTACCGCAAGACCGCGGCAGCGCAAGTTCGTCTTTCTATAGTCTTTTTTAATCTCAAAAGTAAATAAATACTAGTATCTGTACGTCCTACTGCTAGTTACAGGTCTCCTTATTACTAAGAGAATTTTTGGTCGGGATAGAGTCCGTCGCATTGCCCCATACGTGTTGGTGGACTTTATATATTCCTGAAATATTTTGTTAATTTTTTATACAATTATGCATTTTTCTATACAATTTATTTCTCATTAATTGATCACATTAAACTGTAAATACAATTTCATCAATACTAGACCGATAACTGACTCGGTTTGTTCGGACGAGCGTTTATCCTTATGATTTTTTTAATATTTATTTATGTAGATAGATACACCACCGACAATATCAATATCCGTTTAATTTTTTATTTAGCATAAAATAGCAGCTTAATGCTGCTGTGTTTCCGTGTCACTGGAGACCCTTTTTACTGAAAAAGAGGCATTCCATCTTAGTCCTCAAGGCTGACTACGCATCTGCATTTTGATTTGCAAACGAGGATAGATGTAGATGTATATGGGCCTCAGTAACCACTTACCATCAGGTGGACTGTGTGCTCGTTTGTCACCCTATTTCTATAAAAAAATGCATTGATACAAACGAAATACAAATTTTTTTAGACAAGGTATATGTCTTTACAGGTGTAAACATCATTATATGAAAAAACTAAACAACATACATATAAACAATAAACAAACAGAAATCAAACTCACTCATCGTTAGTCTGTAAATAGGGCTAGGCCTAGGTGGATCTTAGTCTACTCCTTTTTTGTTTGTCCCAGTACCAGTTTTACCCAGTAAGATATATACGTGGCCCACTCAAAGATTTGCCAAATTAAAAAAAACTGTGTTGTGGTGGTGTAAGAATATCCACTATCCCATTTTATCCCGTAGGTGTCGTAAGAGACTATAGAGGGAAACAAATGAAATGGGCAGTAGCATTTTCCTAATAACGATGACGAAAAAAATAAAAAAATTGTATTTGCCAACCCGCTTGCATAGCGTGACAACTATGGCAAATAGGTTATTTATCGGAGAGGCATACGTGCAGCAGTGGACTTTAATAGGCTGTAACGATAACGATAAAAAAATCTAAGGTTAAAATGTAAGTTTGTTATTATTAAATCTTTTCAACAGAATTTATACGTGGTAGAGCCATGCTGCAGCTATATCAGTAGTATAGTTGTAGCACGAATGGGTCGGCTCGACCGGGGAAGGACCACGCTCTCACCGAAAACCAGCGTAAAATAGCAGCTTAACACTGGTGTGTTTCGTATGGTCAGTGTAGAGAACCGGAGACCCTTATTACTGGCAAAGAGGCATTCCATCTTAGTCCTCACGGGTGGCAACGCATCTGCATCTTGAGTCTTTATTGATGATAGATGTAGATGTCTATGGGTCACAGTAAGCACTTACCATCAGGTGGACTCTGTGCTCGTTTGTCACCCTATCCTATAAAATAAATAAAAAAAATATCTATACAATGATTAATCTATCTAAACACATTTTTGATACACTTTTTCCAGTCTATCTCGGACACCTCTTTTATACACTGGTAGCTCATTTTTCTCCAATGAAAACTGTATTCCTTGCAGCCGATTTTTTTTTATTTCAGAGAATAAAATAATCACACGGTGCCTAACTAAGGCTGATTGAGGGATGACGCAAAGCTTAAACGGGTTGCTATACAGAATAGAAAGTGTCTTGCTTTAAGCCATAAGCTGTCATGGAGGAACAGCAGCGCGCAGATCTCCGTATTCATTCACTTGTTTCTCACAGCAGTTATAATTTCTGGTAAGCATTTGGTAGTTATACCATTCGGCATTGATGCTACTTCGATTTCATAGGGTGGATACAAGATAAAGTAAATAACTAGCTATCAAAATCTTTCCTGCGATACTTTGCATTTGATCAAGTGGTTCATTTTGGAACTGCCAAATTAGCAACTGGCGCTTCGTTTCTAATTCGTATTGATAAATGCAAAATTAATCAATCACCTGTACTAATTTCGTAACACGCCGAAACGAGCATGTTTCAAATTTTGTCATTTTTCAAAAATTTTCACTGTTAGCACATTTCCTTCTCTAACAACCGTCAAAGTGGCGATCACTGCTTTCTTCATCTTTCAAAGATAGTCGACCAAAATTATTTTTTTACACCAGCGATACACGGTTGCCTTTAATACACATACTCAATTTTATCCATAAACGCCATTTGAAATCTATGAAACGATTTGTTTAATTTTGTCGACAATTTGAAATCGCAAAAATCATCGCGCGAAAATGATGCAAATCCATTTTTCAATGAAAATGATATTTCAATTTAGCTTGTAAAAATGGAGAATATTTCGTATTTTTAAAGTAAATTGTAACTTGCCAGTGTCTAATACAAAATAAACTTTTATCCGCAAAACATTCTGCGTGGCCTGTCGTACTCCGGTCTTCAGTCTGGATACTTTATGCCTATCATATTTGAAATTTTACGATACCCTTGGGATGATATAAATTGAGAGAGACTCTTATATCGAAAAAATTAACTAAAATTTATTTTTAAGAAACTATAACTGTGTATTTATTTTTTGCAATTAAGGAAAACCCACATTCAGGGACAACAATAATCTAAATGAAGAATTTTGTTCATGCAAATTATACGAACATTTCTCCGTGATGAAAAATAAAGTTAAAAACATAAAGCTTAATTAAAAATTAAAAAAGTAAGTAGTGTGAAAAGTAGTCTAAACAAAGATTGTCATTGCCAATGCTAAAATACTTGAGTATTCACAGCAATATGAACAAGAGTAGCGTGACCATTACGGCACGCTAGACAACCAAATGTAGGTTGTTTAATTCAAAACAATGGTCATGCTAGTCTTTTTATAATCTGTGAAAAGGCTGGCCCTCGAGGCATGCGCGGCCGTCCGGTCGATATTCAGTGACGTCAGCGAGAGTTGGGCCTCAGTCAAGCGCCGCCGGCCGTAGTGCAAACATGTGGTTACAATGTATGGCTGCTACGGTGTTGATCGCCGCCGTCGCTTCCCGCGAGGTCTTCACCAACTCCTTTTTGGTGCGGTTCAAGCGTTCGCTCCGCCACGAGGAAGCGCAGGAGGTCGCACGACATCACGGCTTCGATAACCTAGGACCGGTGAGCAACCACGTGATATTTCGTAAACATAATCCTCAACCCGCGCTTATATTTTCTGTTTGATATCTAGGTTTATAGAAGCGCTACTGATTACTATCAGTTAAAGCACTTTTACCGTGCCGTGTGATTAACTTCCGATAATATTACTCAATACTGATGAACTTGAAATTATCATACAAATATTGTAAGGCTTCCACTCTCACGTAACTTTAAATAAAGATTATTATAACGTGACAAGCAATTGTGCAAATGTTTAAGCCTTTTTAACTATTGGACAATACAAGCCAATGGAAAATAATAATATTAATAATATTATACGAAAATTTTTACTGTCTATGTCGCATATTTTTAAATATATTACTATCCATCTCGCATGTTTTTAAATATTTATTATGAATTTATAAGGCAAAATCAATCAGCTTGGAATTATTAACAACAATTTGAACTATGTTAGAGAGAAATCTAAAAGTTCAAATAGGTATATTTACGCATTTTAAATATCCTGGCAGAGCCAAATTTAAATGAAGTATTTAAAGCTTTCCTTTAATCAGCGCTGTCTAACATCGTAACAGTGAAACCTGTTTTCGTTATAGATTATGTTTGTCAAAAGCTATTGTTTGCTGTTTGCTCGTTATTCCTCCCCTACATCTAAATACACACATCATAACAATGTAACACTGTACGCATATATTCATACATTCTAATAAATAAAATCTCACATTTATAAGATTTTAATTATTGTATCAAAAACGAAGTATATTAGAAAATATTTATGCTTGGTAAATTTCCATTTTGATTTTATTCAAAAGTAATTTAAAGAAACTTTTAAATATGTATAAATCTGACAGTGATTTTAAGTACCTATAAATACTTAAAATGAAAAACCAAATACTTAAAAGTCAAACAAAACCACTAAATTGAATTTTTAATTCATAAAAATATAGAATATTAAAAAAAAAAACCTCTGCTAAAACAATAATTATCATACAGAAAGGTTGGTTGATCGCCAAGAATCCACAAGCTTGGGCTTTCAAAATTCTGATAGGTTGTCCCGTTATGTTTTTCTGTACGATGTTGTACATGTATGTACATATTCTTTGTTCTTGTCTTGTCTTATTTTGA